GAATAAAATGTTTTTTTTTTCTATCTCAAATTTCAAATTTAAACTATAACGTTTTACTTTCATTCAAAATAAAATCTTTTAATTAAGTTAAATAAACAATTGAATTATGGATTGAATTGAGTCACTATGAACCAACAACATAGGCTTTGTAATATAGTTGCATACATCAATTTTACACAGGAACTAATCTTTTATTTTTAAGAATAAATAGTTAAATGAATATTGAACTCTTTAAACGCTTAATATATTGGTGATTATAAATAGATTAGTTGCTCATTTGTGGTATTTATTTCAATCGTTACAGTATTGGGTTATATAGGAGAGACAACACTAAATGATCTCATTTGTTTTGAAAATTACAAAATGTATAATAATATTAAAGTGATATACATACCGATAGTCCAATACGTCATTTTGAATTAATATTTAGAAATTAAAATTGTAATGTAGAATGATTCCAATTAATAAATTATAAACTTTGTCATCTCGTCTGTAGTTGTTGATGTTTTACAGTTTACGATCGAGATTGTTTGTGTCGTGACTCGTGAGTTGTGTTAAGAAATGAGATAGAATATTATTCAAATGATAATTATTTCCCGATAGTTATTAAATATACCACAAGATGGCGTCATCACAAGGTGCCGTAGTAATATTATGTTATCTCCTTATCAATACAAACACACACAATAAAAGAAATTCATGATACAAGCCCTAAAAAGTAGAGTATTAAATATTTGTATTAGTAATTTGGAAGTTGACGTTATTACATGTTATTACCGAGCAGAGTATAATATTTAAATTATTTGTATAAATGATTAAATATGATGCATGCTTTTTTTCTGGATTATGTAAGTTATTTGACAATTTACCTATGTTGTGGGTATTACTTATACCATTGATTATAATCAGTGCTTATACTGTACAGTACTACAGTAGTATATTTTGAGTAGATATTCTAGTCCACCCTTTTTTCATTTTGTTCTATTGTTATTCAATTAATACAATTTATGCAATTGAATATTTGTTCTTAAAATTGAATTACCGTATGTAGTGTTAGCAATGCATGCAAATGTTTGTAAGAAAAAATTTTAAAATTAATTCACATTTATATTTTTAGAAATCAAAAGGACTCCTAACCTTTGTTGATTTGTTTCATGGAAAAAGATGATAGGACTTGAAAAATGGCAAGATGTACAATTACGTGTCCGTGTTGTCTACGATTCAAGTTCAGTGCTGAAGAAGTGGAACAACGGTATAGAAGTAAAGAGATTGATAAACTTATAGACAAAGATAAACACCTGTTGCGTAGACAAGTAAAGTTACTATTGTTGGGAGCTGGTGAGAGCGGTAAATCAACATTTCTTAAGCAAATGCGTATTATTCACGGTATACATTTTGAACCTGAACTTGTCATTGAATACCAACACATTATCTATCAAAATATTTTAAGAGGTAATAATAATAATATTAATATTATATTATTATATTAGATGATTTTATTTTATTTTTTATTTTAAATAGGTATGAAAGTTTTAGCAGATGCTAGGCAAAAGTTAGGTATACCATGGGAAAACCCTGATAATAATAAAAATGGTGAATTTATTTTGAGTTTTGACAATCGTACCACTCTGGATACACGATTATTCCAGTCATATGCTCCATCAATGTACTGTTTGTGGAAAGATGCTGCTATTAAAAGGGCATTTGAAAGAAGGAGAGAATTTCAACTTAGTGACTCAGTACAATATTTTCTGGATAATATTGAAAATATTGCTAGGAGTGTAAGTTATATTTTTAAAACTTTTTATTTTACATTCAACATTAATTTAATAAATTTATATTTCAAATTTAGGACTATTTACCAACAAATAAAGATATTTTACATGCTAGACGAGCTACAAAAGGCATTTATGAATTTACAATTCCAATTAACAATATTCCATTTCGATTTGTTGATGTTGGTGGACAAAGATCCCAACGACAGAAATGGTTTCAATGTTTTGATTCTGTCACATCTATATTATTTCTAGTATCCTCTTCCGAATTTGACCAAGTTCTTGTAGAAGACAGGTATGTGTTGTTTTGCTTAATAGGACTGGATAGGACTGAATATTGTAGAGATTAAATGTAATTAGCTTTAAAGTGTTTGTAATACTATTAAAATCAATAATATCATTAAAATTGCTTTAAAGTCTCAATACAATAAAGCAAACCTACACTTGAAATGGTTTAGAATATAAAACAAAACATCGTATTTATATATATATTGTTAATTTTTGAGTATGTCTGAACTAGCAAGACTACTTTAGTTTAATATTATATTTAAAAAAAGATTAAATATTCACTATTCTGTGTACAATTAATATAGAGTAAGAAATTCTAATCTATAATGATGAACATGGCCAAAATGGCTCGAGTGAATGAGATTTACAATGTACACTAGTTACCTTACATGATATAAAAATTTGAGGTTTTATTCAGCTAGTTATAAATTAATTTAAGGCATTTTAGCCAAGGATTATACCATTGAAATYCAAAAGAGTATTTTTGGAATTATAAAATATATATTTACCGAGAATAATATTTATTAAAACGGGGTGTTGACTATAATACTAAATATTTATCTATTAACTATTTATAATTTGTAAAAACAAATATAATGAGTGCTTGACCAAGTGTTGCATATATTTTATAATTAATATAATTATGAATTAATTATAGTAATTATTATATCAAGTACATAATGTTTAATAACCCAAAAACTAATTGTTCAAAATTAGGTAAATTATTTAAAATTAAAAAAAAATTGTTTCATCCATTTATAGTTTTTACTGAAGAGCAATCCGAATTCGAAGAAAATAAGTTAAAATACTCCTAAAAAAGTTTAAATAAGCTAAAACAATGATAATAATATTGTCTTTAAGTATACATAAATATCATCTAAAAACAACTATTTTTATAATACCATTATACAAGAACAAAATACAGTGAGCTTGATAGGAAAATCATCAAATACATAAAAAATGTATTAGTAAAACTTAAATGCTGAGCCATTATTTATTTTACTGTTAAATATATACAGATCTTTTCTCACCTATTACTTCTTTAAATATGTATAGTTTCCAGATTTTTCATCTTTAACATCACTTGAAATATATTTTTTCTATATATCTAACCTCCAATGCCTTTTCAAATTAAGATATCTCCTTGTATTATTGTTACTGATATGAGTGTTAAAAACCAGTTTTATTTAAAATATTACCACTTATTTTTAATAATTACTATTTATAATTTTTAACAATCATAATTGGTATTATTTTTTACTTCTTTCTCTTAGATATAGTACAGACATAACACTTTTTAGTCATTTTTACTAAAATCTATAATTGCAACCTAAAGTAGGTATACCATTTTTTTTTTAGAAAAACAAATCGACTAGAAGAATCAAAAGATATATTCGATTCTATTGTAAATAATGTAATATTCCGACGAGTTTCCATAATTCTTTTTATGAACAAAACTGACTTGTTGGCTGACAAATTAGAAAGAAGAGAAACAAATATTAAGCATTATTTTCCAAATTTTGCAGGTAATTTTTATTAATAATTAAGTATACAAAATAATAGTTTTAAATAACTTTCAATGACTGTGTAATTTTAACATAATTTATTTCATAATAAAATATTTATATTTTATTATTTTCAAGCTTGCCTAAATTATTTGTTGTTAAAATATGTGAGTTTCATTCCAAAATACAAATTGTTTCTAATGTTTTATTTATAAACAAGTATAAATTAATAATAATTGTTATTTACATGTTTTAGGAGATCCTCATAGTTTGCCTGATGTACAGACATTTTTATTGGATTTTTTTCGTCAAGCAAAACGCGATCCTAGAAAATCACTGTTTCATCATTTCACAACTGCTGTGGACACAGAAAACATTAAAGTTGTATTTAATGCTGTTAAAGATACAATTTTACATAGAAATTTGGAATCTTTAATGCTTCAGTAACTTTTTTAATTTATGCAGGTATTTGTTAAATATTTATTTAGTTATGTTCATTATAAACAAAACTATGATTTTTTTTTTTTTGTAATGTTATTTTTCGAAATTCATCATAAATCTTTCATTGTATCTCAACTTACAGTTATCTTTCTCTATATAAGGTACATCCTGCTATCTATTCCTACACCTTAAAATCAAATTTAGTAACTATTTACATTTAATATGCTAGATATCCAAAAATAAAAATAAAAATAAATGAATTATGCTATTATCATTGTCATAACTTAATAAGATAAAAATGTTTGGTCTGAATTTCAACTTTAACTATTATTTTTTAATCTCAATTCTTATACGTGTTTATTCTCAAACAAAAAAATTCTCATTTATGAAATATTATCTTTATTATTGTTTATATGATAAACAAATTTGTTTAAATGCATTTATTATCCAACTATGTATAATAGTACTGTTTATTGTTAAGCAAAATTTTTAAATTTATATTTTTGTACAAAATTATTTTCTGATATATATATATATATATTGATTAATGATTAGATTAAGTAATATTATCTTTATTATTGATTAGTTATTTAGTATTCAAGCATTCATATTTATATTAATTAATAGATTCAGATAATATTTTGTTCTACGCACTATTTTATATAAATACATTTTGATTTTTAAATTAAATGTAATCCACTGAAGTAAACATTATATTTATTAGAAATATCAATTATATTTGTTGAGCTTACAAATATTAGAATCAACATTGAACAAGACTTGTGATTATTTCTACAATTTGTTTTTTTTTTTAAATACTTTTTTTAGTTTTTTAAGATGGATTGATAATGTTTAAGATATTTAAAACAAAATATATAATTATATTGTTATTAAAATAATATTTTTATTTGAATGTAGGTGCAATTATAAATTAAAATAACAATTAATATTATTTCAGATAAATACTGGTAACAAATATAACAATTATGAATCACATTTTAGTATGCCATTTTTACCAATCTAATGCAATATCAGTAGATGGTTTGGCTCATATATATTGGTAATATGTTGCATACATTTTATTGATTATTTATATTAAACTATCTTTTATCGAGTGACTGTATTGGTTGTTGATCAACTGAAGTGTCTTCTGATGCAATCCAATTATTATTATCACCAGTAACAACAACAAACAATTGATTGTCATTTACATGAAGTTGGTTTCTAAAATAATTATAAAGATCTTCGTCCTATAAACAAATATATTAATAGGGTTGTAAATTTGTAATAATTATAAATAAAATATAATAAAGTTATGACAWACATTTCCAATTTGTGATGGATTAGGTAATTTTGAATCTAGATTGTAATAAATTCCATTAATATTTTTGATAGATATCCAATGTCTTCGCTTTAATGGCAGCCACAAAAATCCCAAACGACATTCACTGGGTATGTTCATAACAAAACCAAATATTTTATCCAATTTCAACATTTTTGGGTCCCTGATATATAAAACATTATTTAAAATCCATATTTCGCTACAAATGTGTTTTCTAAATTTCTAATATAAAATTAAAACATAAATAAATTGAATAAACTACCTATCAATTACTTTATATTAGTCAATATAATGTAAACTATAATACATTTTATTTTCATATAAACTACTAGGTAATTATTTATTTAAGCAAAAATATTTGAAATATTTTTTAATAAGACATAAAATGTTACCACGTATATTCAAATAATAAATAAATTCAGCTAATAATTAATGGAATTAGTATTTATGTATTGAATACAAAATATGGAATGCCACCAACTCATTTCTTAGAGTAAAAATTGTTTTATCAAACCTAAATTTAATTATATACTACGGCCCAGGAGAGCGTACTTCTCGCTCACGCATCCAAATGAATTAGCTCCGCGGTGTCGGCAGCGGCCATCGTACAGGAAGATTTTGAGGTGGGAATTCGCTAAAACGGATATGTTAAAGCCGCCGCCCATGAAGTGCTCTCTCCTAGGCCATAGTATAACAGGTATTAGTATAGTAAAAGCAACTAGCAAACCAGTGCTTATAACAATTCAATGTTTGAAGAGTAAAACATACAAATAAACAGTTATTGTACTAGATAAGAATTATTTTTGTATTATCTAATATTATTTTTATTATTTTACATTAATTTTTCATTCAAAAAGTAGAGCTTTACAAATTGTGTTACCTTAAATTATATTCAAAAACACACCTACAATTTAAAAAAATACAAAAACTGGTAAATTTTTAGTTTTTTAGTAAATTAAATAAAACATTTCGTAGTACCTCTACTGGAAGGCCTTTACAGTCTGTCTAATTTGTCATTTTATTTTTATTAACTATTTTATCAATTGTTCTTATTGTTCTATTTTGTAGCAGATAGAAAGAAAAAACTAATGAAACAAAAAAAAAAAAAATTATAAATTATTATAATTTCTGAAACACTAATATTATTCAAGGTGCTTTAAATCATGCTCTTAATATTTGAATTTTTAATTAACACGGAAAATAATGTGCTGATTGAATTACAGAAAAATTAATTTTGAATTTGTATTAATTTATTGTCCTATAGCTTAGTAATAAGTATGTATCTTTGTTCCTTTCATTATTTGTATAAATATTATTTATAAAATAATTTGACAAAAATAGCGAAACAAAAAGTTATAGCACTGTGTAATTGATTATTAAATATCATATAGCAAAAATTATAAATCGTATAAAATTATTATAGGTAATTGTAGTATTTATTTATGATAGGTACTAACTTTCTTTTATCAAACCAAAAGGCACTATAGCCTTTGTTTTGTAATGCAGCAATCAATACATTGACATCATAATTACCAATACCTAAAATTGAACGATGTGGATTTATATAGTTGTTGGGAGACAGTGAAAAACATATAGCATCAAGTTCCATTTGTTTGAATGCCTCTTTTGATTGAAACAAATTGTTGAGAGCGTGTAATGCACATAACTCCTTAGACTTAATAAAATGTAGGGGATTAGTAAAATTGTATTAAAATACACGGTGCCTTCTTCATTACTTGTTTTTCATGATAAATAGTTGTAGATTCCGGTAACATGATTCATTTAGTCTATTTCCTTTGGTTGATGAACTCTTCAAACAATTTTGATTTAATTACTAGGTAAAATAAATTGTGATTATCAAATAAAACGAAAATTCAAATACTCAAAGTCAGTAATAAATGTTAAAACGATTCTATCATTATACGTGTTAAAATGTGTATTTTTGTTACTTGTTTACATAATAAAATAATTAATATAAATTGTGATATTGTGAATAAATAATATTGTTAAGATAATACGTGGTTATCAGTGTAGTATCTACAACCGTGGCAGTAAAATATACACCGAGTATAGATAATATAGAATATCTATGGTAAAAACTAAATAATAGAATATTAGAGTTGGAAATTTTAATTTAAAAATTCACTCGTTGTGATAACTAACATAAGTGTACAAATTATTGTTGGCTAATATTTATACCATAATATTATTCTTTTCGTTTTATTATACAGGGTGATTGATTTATCATAAAACACTCATTATTTCAAAAAGTATTGACTTTTTTCAAAATATTTTTTTACATGGTTTCAGTTGTTAWAAAACCAACGTTTTTATTAAAAAATTATATTTTTAAATATTTTTTATCCTTATCATTATTTAAAATTTTTACTTTTTTGAATGACAACATATAGTTTTAATTTCATATTCCRAAGCAGAATATTTTTCTAAGTATTTTGATACATAGAAATCGAATTTGTGGCTAGTAGTTTATGAGTTATAAGTATTTAAAGTTTAGACAAGCATAGTAGTGGTCAAATATTTTGCGGGGTAACCCCGTACCACTCCACTCTG